AAAAAAAAGAAAAGAAAAGAAGAACGGATGATGAAGTAAGAAGAAAAAAAAGACCTAGAGACGGCTGATGTAATATAGTAATGAACAAGAAGAAAAAAAGAAGAAAATAAGAACAGATGATGGATTAAGTTAAAGAAGAACTATAGACGGATGATGGAGTAAGAAGAGGAAGAAGAAGAAGAACCAGCGAACAATGGTCCAATTTTCAGAAATTTCAATTTTTTTGAATTTTGAAATTCAAAGTTCCATATTAAATGTTGTGAAACGTTTTTAATTAAAATTAATAAGTTAAAATTCAAAAAGTGTTTTAGTAGAGAAAAAATAGGCATGATATTGGGGAAATGTGTGTTATAGGAGAGAGAAGGTTATGTATCTCTAAACTTCTACTAAAATTTAAACAAAGGGAATTATGTAATATTTAAAAAACGAAGGGAAAATTAGAGAATACTAAACTTATAGTTGTGTATTTAAGTTATTTTTCCTTTAAATAATGCTCAATTGAGCCCAATTCAATTTCCAATTTCAGTCCATTTTAAAACTCTTTACTAAGAAATGTTCCTATATTAAAGATATAAATTACCATCTGTTTAACATTTTATGATTTATCTATCCATTTGTTACTTTTTTTAAAAAAAAAAATCTTGAGCGAAAATTCGAATTGTGATTATAAAAATTAAGTATCACTATGTTAAAATTATTGAGATTAATCGGGTCCAACTAAGCGGATCAAGACCTTACCTGTTTTTAGTCCATTTGAACTCAACCAATTTGAGCCCAAATCAAACTTGGACAGGTTAAGATCCAACCTGATTTTATCTCAACCATTTTAATATGGATTAATTACGAAAATCCCACCTTTTAGTTTACTTATTACCATTACCTCCTATAAGTATTACAAATTTCCAAAATTCCTCATTTTCGCGCATCACATTAATGTGTCTCTCGCATCACATTAATGTATATCGCACAACACATTTACGTATCTCACACATCAGATTAGTGTATCATGTATAAAATGTACCTTGTGCATCATATTAGTGTATCTTATGCATCAGATTATTGTATCTGGCGCATCAGATTAGTGTATCTCGCTCATCATATTTGAGTATCGTGTATAAAATGTAACTCACACATCATATAAGTGTATCTCGCGCATCAAGTTAATATGTCTCGCGCATTAGATTTATGTATCAGTGCTTATATTATTGATTTCGTTTTTAGGAATTTTTGTAATTATAAACTTTAAAGGAATATGTTGTAATTTTACCTTAAAAGAATATGATATCTGTAATTTGCCCTAATATCTCTAATTTCAACCGAAGCCCATTTGACACCCTAGTTATCGTAATAAGATAAGTGAAAATATCAAGAACATAATATTATATTTGAACCAAGTATTTGACAAAGAGGACCTATTTGAGCAGAAGTATTAAATAGAGGGAAAATCCGCTCAATTTCACATAATACGAGGGCACATTTGAACATTTTCCGTTTTCTTAATAATTCCACGTAAAACTTTGGTCTTTGGCCATTATATAAACGGGTCGGGTGCTCGCCCATCGTCAGTTTGATTCAAGAAAACAACGACGACGTATTGCAGACGCAGAAATATTATGGCGGGAAAACCTTTAAGGCTTTTCAATGTGATACAGTGTTAGGGTTCTTCAGTCGAAACGAATTGTCGCAATCAAGAAGATGCCGATTTACAAAATTAGGGGAATCGATGTCGATTTCCCTTACGAGGCTTACGATTGCCAAATCGCTTACATGGAAAAAGTTATTCAGTCCCTTCAAAATGTATTACATCTTTCTTCATCATTCATTGGATTTTAAATGCTTTTGGATACAACTTTCTTGTTAATGTACTTGTTTTTTGATAGCTTGTGAATGATTTAGTGAGTTTAATGTTTCAACTAGTAACCATTTGACATTAGAGAATTGAATAGGGCTTCTGTTGTCGGGAATTAGGAAAATTACCCTAATTTCTGTAGTTTCTTGATAATCACATGTGATTGCACTGGTGGAACGTGGAATTGTAACAACGGATTCAAAAAATTCGAACTTGCTATCTAAAGAAATTTTGTGAACTACCTTTGCCAATACAATGAGAACTTCCCTCATGTCGAGGGGATTCAAAAGTTTCTCTGTATATATGAAAAAAAATAATCAGTTTTTGCCCTTTTTGCGCAATGTGATGTTCTAATGAAAAGGAATTAATTAAACACCTTTCTTAGCTATGGCTCTGTCACTCGATGGTCCAATCAACATGGTATTTTCAGTTTTCACAGTAAGCAGCTGAATTAGTAATTTTGTCCTAAAGAGTCGAATTAACATCTGACATGATAGATACTATTTATTTTTTTATAAAATACAGATTTCCTATGTTTACATGAAGTGTTTTTCTATGTCTGTATTCCTTTTTTTTTTGTGTGTGTCTGTAGTCTAAAACAGTTTCTTGTTTTACTTGATGAATGCGACAGAGATCCAATGCATTGCTTGAGAGTCCAACTGGGACTGGGAAGACCTTGTGTCTTCTTTGTGCCACATTGGCTTGGAGGAAGAGTTTGGGGGGTTTCTCAGTCCGGAAGAGTGGAAGGAGAGATCATATTTCCAGTAGCCAGCAGTCTGATGAGTCTTCTCAATCTGAATCTTCAACGTTACCGAGTATTGTATATGCATCACGCACACATAGCCAAATTCGACAAGTGGTGAAAGAGTTAAAGAGGACCAACTACAGGTAGAGTCAAACTGTGATTACATTATTGAACATGTGGTTTTATTATTATCTTTTACTATTAGCATATTATTGAAGTATTTCAAATAGTCTTCTAGTTCAGTAGCAGCATTTTATTAAGAACCTTTCTTATTTGCAATACTTCACATTTACGTATGCCACAACGTGTCTGATTCTGTCAAATATAATGTGATGTATAGGCCCAAAATGGTAGTCTTAGGGTCTCGGGAACAACTATGCATTCATGAAGAAGTAAGTCAGCTGCGTGGAAAAACACAGACAAATGCCTGCCATGCACTTTGCAAAAAACGCAAAAAACGTTATTGTGCCCATTTTTCTCGAGTTGCAGGTATATTAAGCATATCTGCTTGTCGTCAAACTCTTCATGGTTGAGCTGGATTCTGTTTTTGGTTATTAACTCACTTATAAATGTTCCTTGTGTCATTTATGCTTCAGCCTTCCCACATCCCAGGTGTATTCTTCTCCTAAGGGAGGTTATTGCACTCTTTATTTTATTAATAAGTACATTTACCTGCATGGTTCAACTAAAAAATTTTGGCTCTTTTTTTCCTGCTCATATTCCTTCTCAATCCCTATGGAATTATGTAAATAGAAAGAAAAAGTATTAGACCAAATATTTGTTGATCTATTGATTTCTTGTCTTGAAGTTAAAGATTTAACCAATTATTTAAAAAGCTAAAATTGGTTGCACAGAATGATAGGTTTTCAATGTCAGCCTGGCGTCTCTTGCATTGTATAATTTTAAACTACTTTTTAAATTTTTACGCTCGTAGGACCACTTCATTCTTTTAATTTTATTGGAGAAACAAATAAGCAAAGATGCAAATTTACTCGGTGGAACATGTGGTACATGATACTCTAAGAATTTATTTAGCTTTCTAGTTAATAAAGGTGCTTTCTATGCCAGTAGTCAAACACTTTTTGATACTGAGAAAGTATGTATATCCAAATATATAATGATTGGACATATCAAGACCCCTCATAATAGCTAGTCACTTTGCACTTGCTTTTTTTTGCTTGATCATACTTTATTCGGTAAACTCAGAATCAGTTATTAATTTATCATTTGGTCCTTATATTGTTGCATCATCTGTGTATGATGTCTGTGATAAGGAGACGAGCATCTGTACCTTGAATGTTCAGGCAGATAACTCTGAAGAACACTGAAAAAGTTGTCCTATTTAGCTAAATTATATAACTGGTTTGATTGCTTGTTTGGTTAATTATTACTTCTGTCCTATGCATATGTCAGCTATATGCTCTTTGGTATTTTGACTTTTGGAACATCATAAATAGTTGACTCCTTGTATAGTTTATGTTTCCTTTCTCTATCTCATCATGATTACCGTTCCTTTTGTCCGTGTATATACTTTGTGGTCTGGAGACAATGTGTACCTTGATCTTTTAAGAAGATTTTCTTTAAGAACTTAGGCCAAATGTCCTCGTTAGCTGGATGAAATGACTGGTTTATTGCTCATATGACTTAACTTCTTCCTCCTCTGTCCTTTAATGCATGTCTGCTATATGACTTCATTGATATTACTTGGAAGATCATGAATAGTTGAGTGCTTGTATAAATAACCTGTACTTTCTTTGTCTTATCATGCTTACAATTTTACTTCTGCCTTTTTTTTTTGGATAAAGTAATAAATTTCATTAGAAAAGGGCAAAAGCTTGCCTGTAGAAAAGAAGTATATCAAATGTGGAAAACCTTACAAGAGGACATGGTTTTTTACAAATACTTCATCTGTATATAACTTTGTGATCAAGAGAAAAACATCTGAACCTTGATATGTAAGCAAATTTCTTTGAAGGATTTAGGCAAATTGTCTCTTAAGCTGTGTTATATGGCAGGTCGATTGCTTGTATGGTAAACTTCTTACTTGTTCTGTCCTCTAACACATGTCAGGTATATGTTCTTTTTTGCAGTTTGATTCTGGAATGTCGTGAATAATTTTGCTTGTATAGTCAACTTGTATTTTCTTTCATCATGGTTGTCATTTTACATGTTTTTGTTGAGTTTTTACATCTGGAACAATGTGAATTGTTGTTATTGAGGCTGGAGGCTCTTGTGACTGTTTAACCAGAGAGATTGGATATTTTAACGGTTGTGTTATAGCAACAACTCAAATAAGAGTTCTTTATTAAGTTTTTTGGTGATCTAAGAAAGATTAAGTGTTTCTTTTGATGAGGTAACATTATATTGATGCTTTCGGAGAATAAAACCTATACAAGTAGTACAAAAATAGAGAACATACACAAATATATGGTTCTCTACAAATGATATTTAGTCGTCTATACCAATTGGGATCTCTCCTCTTTCTTTCCATTCAAAGGACCAAATAAGTGCTAGGTCGTCTTCTAAATTCCCAAATATGTGTCACCCCTCATTGTCTCGAAAAGGTGATAAAGTATGAAAAAGTTTCTTCAGAATGAAGATGCCATTATTCTGTGTGTTGGTTAGTTTTGTTAGCTTCGGTTATTGTGTCGTCTTTATTGAGAGCCTCATTTGACGGGTCGACAGCCAATTGTAAGGCTAGACCAGATCCATATCTTGTTTAGCATGAAGAATCAAGTGGAAGCACTAGTATGTTTGATTTTCTAGATCGATTATCAAGATCTCACCCCCTCGACCAACTTGTTCTTTCTGAAGTTAAGCACTATCCCATCTGGACTGAGATCCATATAATGAATCATTTCAGTTAAATGACTTGCTAGCGACAACATATCCCCAACACAATCTACATTATAAAAAACAGTTAGAAATTTCAAATGTCTGGCCAAAACTTAATGGTAAATTATGAAGTGTCCGACATAAAGAAATAGAACACTAGCGCAATGACTTGCTAGCTACAATATATTCCCAACACAATCTACAATATAAAGGATAGTTGTTTACATACTTCCAAAAGATTTAGACAAAACTTAGTGGTAAATTATGTAATATCCCTGGTAAAAAAAGTTGATCATGTAGTGCCAACAGAAATTTGTAAAAGAAATAGAAGACTCCTTAACGATCCAAAAGGCTTATCTTACATTGTAGAAATGTTTGAGAAAGAGAAACTCTGCTATATACCATTAAGCTAGCTTTGGGTGCCTTTCTAGCACGTCCCTCCTATCAAAAGTGATGGAAAAATAGATGAAGTAATGAAAGTAAAGTATGTCTATAAGAAAGGACTACGAAGCATCCTGCACTCACACGTGGTTCAGAGAAGAAGTGCATCCCAAGGGGGTGTGATTTAGGCAGCCTACTTGGAGAAGCATCATGGTAGGCTAATGATTTTCTGTCGATCTAATACAATTATACAAAAATATAAAAGGTGAATGTGTAACTAAGCATATGACTTTCTTTTGTTTACTCTTTGTCTTGACTGTGCTTGGTGAATTATGACTGTTAATGCTGTCTTGTTATATACAGAGTTCATGAAGATTAACCCTAGTATCGGAGAGGAGCCTATTGACATAGAGGATTTGGTCAACATCGGAAGAAGCAGTGGACCGTAGGGTTTTCTTGTGAGTCTTGTCATTTAATGCTTGATTATATGACTGGACTCACTTCTGGTTCTTTTGTAGGTGTCCATATTATGTATCACGAGAACTTCACAAGACTGTGGACATATTATTTGCGCCTTACAATTATCTTATTGATCGCGGATACAGAAAATCTTTGAATATTCAGTGGACAAACAGTATACTTATATTTGATGAAGCTCATAACTTGGTAAATTGCACCTTCAACCGTTGCATCAGTATATTCTTAGGATGCTCACCTTTACATCATTCTTCTGTTGTAATTCAAGATTTAATTTTAATTTTTTTTGGCGCTTATCTTTTTTTTTTTAACCAGGAAAGCTTGTGTGCTGATGCAGCCTCATTTGACCTTTCTTCTGGCCTTCTGACAGCTTGCATCTCTGAAGCTAAAAATTGTATAGACCTTTCGATAGAAAGGAGGGAGATGTCAAGTGACAAATCATGTAATCCCGATAACTTTGCCATTCTCAGAGGTAAATTCGTTAATTGCTGAATGAAGTTATGATAGATGCATTTGACGTGACCTTATTCATGGTTATTTAGCGTATAGTTCATTGCCTTAAATTGTTCAAGACGCGTCTGTAAGGTCCAATACAATCTAAGAGACATTTCATTAGAATTCAATCAAGTTGCCTCTTACTTTGGTTTTGTTGTTTGTTCCTCTCAGTTATTTCATACTAAATTTACTTGTTCAACTCCTTTTTATCTGAGGTAGTATATGGGTGCCGCACACTCTATAACAGTATGAATGTCATGCAGCACTTCTGTTGAAGCTTGAGAAAAAAATTGGTGAAGTACCTATTGATTCAAAGGAGTTGGGTTTCACGAAGCCTGGACCATACATTTATGAGTTTCTTGCTGATCTAAATATCACACAGAAAACGGCCAACATGCTCATTGATATAATTGAGGAAGCTAGTGTACTTCTTGAAGAAGGTGACTGCTTACTGCCTTGACATTTTGAATGTAATCTACCTTGTATCATATCTACTCTGCAATGAATGGTTGTTTGCAGCACTGTTTAACTTGGCAGCAAGATTAATAACTTTAGTTTTCAATTCATTTCATTATAGTTTTAGTGGTCCAAAATTGTTAAACTAGAGTTGAGATTTGGTTATGATATCGGTTTCTAGGGAAACCTATAATGTTGTCTAAATTGTAATTGCTTGAGAAAGTGTGCTTAATGTTAAAGATGTGAGTTGTGTCAGAACCTAAATGTACTTTTTTGTATACCAAGGTTTAACTACTTGTGCAATAACATTCACTTATTAGTTGTTAAAAAAAGGAAATATGTTCCATGCAATGGAAGGGGGCAGAAAAAAATTTGAGTTTTTTTAAGCTTTTGTAGCCAGGTTTGAATAGTCTTTTGTATTTATTTTAGCTTTATATGGTGCTTCTCCATTTGAAATCACTGAATTCTTGTTCCTTGAATCAGATACAAACACTGCTGAAGATAAAAAAACAAACAAGTCAAAAAGCACAGTCTGCAGATTGGAAAGCATGGGTGACATTCTACAGCAGATTTTCAGAGATGATGGGAACGCTCATGCTCAATACTATCGTGTAAGTTAGGAGATTATGTTACCTTTTTTTGGTTGGTAGGTTGAAGAATGATTTTGTTTGAGACTTGTACAATCTAGTACAAAATCCTGATTCTCAGTCAGTTGTCTGATTGAAGTTGTTTCACGTCTTATCAGGTTCATGTTCAGGAAGTTCAAGGAAATGGCATGGATTCTTTTAAAGGTAGCCAAATTCCTCTTAGGCATAGTGCAAAAATAGCATCAGTTCTTGGGATACCTATGTCCTCCATAGTTTTTTGTTTTCTTAACCTTTAAACCTCCCCTTCATATTTTTATTCATTGATTTTGTGCTGCAGGCAAGGGATCTAGGACACTGAGCTGGTGGTGTTTCAATCCAGGTATTGCAATGGAGCAGTTCTCCAGATTAGGTGTTGGATCTATCATTTTGACTTCTGGCACATTATCTCCAATGGATTCCTTTGCTGAGGAATTGAAGTTGTGAGTCCAATCCATCCCAAAACATTTTTACTTATTTTCTTCTGGCATGGATTACTTATCATCTCCAATGGATTCCTTTTTGCCGCTTGTAGAGATTTTCCAGTCCGTTTAGAGAACCCTCATGTTATATCAGACAATCAGATATGGGCTGGTGCTGTACCCGTGGGCCCTTCTGGTTATACATTCAACTCATCATATAGGACGCGTGATTCTATTGAATACAAGCAAGAGCTTGGGAATGCCATTGGTATGTGGAATGTGATGCCGGAATGTGGTGTATATCAGCTGTGAACTTTTGATGATTTTTTCAGATAATGTTTTTGATGGATACTTTTCTTTTTAATTTTATCCTTCAGTCAATTTTGCTCGCGTTGTACCAGATGGCCTTCTTGTATTCTTTCCTTCATATTACATTTTGGAGCAATGCATTGGCTGCTGGAAAACTTTGGTAAGGATCTAGACATTATGAAAATTGACATCTGCGTGGCATTGGTTTCTGTGAGCACAATTTTGGGCTATGAAAATATTCAGGGACAATCAATCTCAATGGGTTCAAGTACAATATGGGAAAGGATATGCAAACACAAGCTGCCTGTGGTTGAACCGAGACAATCTTCCCTTTTCCCAACGGCAATTGAAGTACGCCATACAATTTTTGTAACTTTTCTTTTGTGCATTCTGTGTCTGTATTTGACTCAGATATGTTGGGCCTCGACAGGACTATATGGCCAAGTTAAAGGACAAATCAGCATCTGGGGCTGTATTTTTTGCCGTCTGTCGCGGAAAAGTAGGTTTCTATTTATAAAATGTTTCTTTAGCTCTTGGTAATAAAATTTGCTTAGTTTTGAATGTTTAATACAAGCTTATGAAATTAGTGGGTAGCAGATGCTTCTAGAAGTTTTCGACATAGTTAAACTAGTAGTGATTTGACATGATGGGTTGTTATGCCCTGGGCTTTGATTCAATGGTAAGGATGCAATGCATGCAGTGTGGGTTAGGCCCCACGTCACGATTTTGAATGCTTCCCTTGACTTAAGCCTGACATTTAAGTGGAAGTAGGGTAGAGGGATGGGCTCATACTCCTTCAAGCTGTAAACCTCTAAGCACAGTTGGAATTTGGCAAGCTAACATACACGGGGTTTGTTGCTTATAAAAGAAAAGAAAAAAAGGTTCAATTGGATCTTGTGTTAGTACTATGCTAATTTGACAACCATAGCACTTTACTGGATGTCTGCTTCTTTTCTTAGAGACATCTCTTTTTGGTAAGTCGTGGTATTATTTCTGCTTACTAATGAAAGCGTATATCCCGTCTAAAATATAAAAGGGAAAAAACTTAAATGACCAACATATCTTATTTTTTGTGCAGACTGTTTTATTAACTTATCATAGTTGTACATTGAGAAAGCATGTAACTTAATAGCAGAAATTTTTCTTGTAAAAATGGACATAATTCATTGAACTTGTAAATTTAAGTTACTCGCAACTACAGAAGTTGAAGCATGCAACTGGGTATCTCGTAGAAGATGTGTCAAATGAACTAGAGACCTACCAATCATATTAAATGTTTAAATATGAAAATGTAGTGTCCAACTGCATATATGTTCCTTTATTTTTGTATAATGGTATACATTCAGGTTATCCTAGATCATTGCTAATAGTGTTATAAATGACACCGTTTGATCATCTTTCCTCATTATTGGTTGATTGGTACATAGGTGAGTGAGGGGCTGGATTTTACTGACCATGCTGGTAGAGCTGTTGTGATCACTGGCATCCCCTTTGCCACAAGGACTGATCCTAAGGTTTGTGAACATAATCACTGCTATTGTGTCAATTCTTTTTGGAGTTGTTCAGTGATTCAAGTGTATCCTAGTTTTGTTTTAACAAAAACTTATATCCAGTCACTTTGCATCCTGACATTTCATCTTCAACAACTAATGTTCCTAATTTACTTGTTTCCTGATATCATTTGGTTTGTGGTAATTTTGTTGATTCAAATATATGAAGCAACCAGGGGATGGTGTACTTCTATCTTCAATTTGTCTGAAAACTTTGATCTGAGGCTCTAATTTTCTTTGGAGAAAAATGTTTTGCACTTGTCAATAATTAAAAAATTGTGTTGCATTTATTTGATTAAATCATAAATAAATGTGTTGAACTTAGTCTATTGTCACCTCGGTGTTGTTGTCTGTTCATACAAGTATCAAATGAAACCTGGTACATCGTTTGTCTGAATCAGGTTCGGTTGAAACGCGAATTCCTGGATCAACAGATGGCCTTGCAACCAACTGGATCTAAGGTACAGGTCAAACCAAAAAGGTGTTTAGGTACTTCTGAGCTTGCTTCTTGTTGAATCCACCTCTCCCGAGGGCTGAGCATATTCATACTAAAAAGTGATGTAGCAGGTCTTAACAGGAGAAGATTGGTATACTCAACAAGCAACCAGGGCAGTTAATCAGGCTGTGGGCCGTGTCATTCGTCATAAAGATGATTTTGGAGCAATTATATTTTGTGATGAAAGGTATATACCCTTTTTGACCATATTGCAGTCAATATATTGGAGCAATAATCAGGCTGTGGGTGCCAACTTTTCACCATATTGCTGTCATATATTGGCTGCTCCTTTTTCCTTGTACATTTGACCAGAATGCTGCTAGAGTTTATTCGCAAGCTGGTAATGAAATATTATGCTTACAACTTAGTCAAACTGTTGATACTGGATGGATAGTTGAATGACTTGGTTTCGATTGCTTTAGCTCATTCTGAAATTGAATGTCGATACAAAACATGTAGACTTTCATACTGTTGGAATTAAAGGAATTGCCATGAGTCAACTATATCTGTTACAAGGAAGTTCACAATAGGTGCTTCCCCCACTGCATATTTGCAGAAGGAGGGTTACTGTGTCTCATTTGGTCATCTTTCTGTCTGTTGCATAGAGTGACCTATCAATTTTGAAACATCTGTCTTTAACTTCTTCTTTATCTTGAGCAGATTCACATACTCCAATCGTCAGTCACAGATATCATGTTGGATACAACCCCATATCAAGGTAGATTTGTTTAAATAGGTATTTTTTGCTCTACTTTTGTTTTTTGTTTACTTTTTCTAAATTATTATCCTTTTGACTGTCCAGTGTCATTCCAAATTTGGGGAAGTAGTCTTCTCATTGACACGCTTTTTTCGTGATGGAAGAATCCATGGCCCTACAAAGCCAGAAATGATGCTACTAGATGACAAGGGTAAAGTAAAACTAGTAAAAGAAAATCATATTACTCTGTTTTGGCTTAGTGTTGTACTCTCTTGCTTGTATGTAGTGATGCCATTTTGCCTAGATCAGTTGATGTATACACGTGCAGTACTATATTCTGTGGGAGTAGTCCTAGGTTGACAATGCTTTTGGATTTACACAGATATATCTCTGTAGATCAAAGGTTGTGTTGACAACCGGTTTCAGTTTTCTGCTTAGTTATGGTTCAGATATTTTGGGGTGTATATTTATAGGAGTGTGTGAGAGCATTGGTTGAAGACAAAAAGAATCTGAACTCTAATTAGCAGTTCAGTCTGGTTTTCCAGTTTTGGTTTCGTTTCAGCTTAGAAGAAATACACCTACATTTGATTGGTTCGACTGAAAAATCAAGCTAATCAATGGGTGTGTGTGGACGTGCTTAATAATTTCTGCTCTAACATGCTTCCTGCTCTCCTCCAACTGTAGCTAGTCTATATATAAATTAATATAGTAGGTAGTTAGCTCATGAAAGATTTGTCCATGTCATGCTTTCGACCGACTAATGCACCTGCGCGTAAGTGAAAAACTATGGTGAGTGGAGGTGTTAAAAGGGGATGGGGTAAACCTAGAGTTATATGGATGGAAGTTTTTTCAAAAGACCTACAAATTTTTGGTATCAATTCAAACTTAGCTAAAGATAGGTCACAATGTAAGAAATAGATGCAAAAAGGTGATATTTTTTATCAAGGGAAATTCAGTCACCAAGCAGATGCAGAGAGGCCAGACAGTACAAAAGAAGTGAAATAGCTAGCTCCTTTACAAATGATTCTATGCCAAGGTCAGGGAGCTAACAAAATAAAAAATAGTTGCCAGCACTATATACGGTGTTGAGATTGTTCCAACTATAAAGGTTAGCCAAACATTTAGCTTTGAGTTACGCAATCATTGTTTGGAATCAGATTGTTCCAATCAGATGCTGTCAATTGGAACTTAGTTTAAACTAGTTCAACCTCATTGATGATAGTGTGTATGTTTAGAAATCTAAACACCGCTTTGCATGAGCTTCAAAAGAAAGAGAGACTGAGTCACTAAACAGAGAATTAGATCCAAGAGCAAAAAGAGATTATGGAAGTTCCTGAAACAAGTTCTTCAACTCAATCTATTCGAGCCCCTGAAAGCAGCATAATTTCATGTGTGAAGCATAGTGAGGAAGCAACATGCTCTTTTTTTTTTTTTTAGTGATTTAGTCAAATTATTTGTATCTCTGCCTCCTTTCATTAGTTGAGTCAAATAATAACTCCTCTCTACTACACCAACATACCCAGTGTAATCCCACAAGGGAGTTTGGGGAAAGTGAGGCTGTTTCCTCACTGAGATAATTGAATTTGTTATTGTTATTACATATTAATTTCGTTGTTGTTACATATCGATTCTGGTTCTCTTGCAGAAACAGTAAAGAGCCTAGGGAGCTCTCAGTCTCAACTTCACTTTGAAAAGCTTCTCACCTCTCTGGTAAGCTAATTTAGTCAGTGCATCTTTTAAAGTCAATATGACAGTAATGCACATTTTTTTCTGATTTCTTTCTTCACATGATTCTGTCATAGGTCTCATCAGTGGATATTCCTTGCTCAACTAATCAATCGTCTTCCTCAGTTAAGCAAGGCAACGGCCCTGGTGGGCTGGAAGACATACTTCCTGCTAATAAATCATCTCTAAGATCTGATAAGATAGCTAAGCTTCTGGCCGTAAAACATGCAAGTAATTTATTGGTCCCTGGGCGAAAAGACATGCCAATTAGCAATCAGAAAATAATTGACTTGACCAAACATGAATTGGCTGATGAACCACCAAAAGATGTTGTTGCACCTTGTTCTATGAAGAGGCCTCGGTTAGCATTGACAGGATCTGATTGTCAAAGCGATCATTTTCGAAAGCCTCATGATAGTCCTGACTGTTCCTCAGTTGCCCATCACCTGCTGTCTGAAAGTGACTTTAGATATTTATTGAATAATAAGAAGTCACAGTATTCTGATAACCAAAGTACACGAAACAGTAATTTAGATAGAGCAAACCTTCTTGCAGATGAGAGGACATCACGAAAAATCGCAGGATTAGTTGACCTGCAAAATGAAGACGGAATTCTTAGCTCTGCACCTTGCAATAATGAGGAGAAAGGATCAGCTTTTCTTGTTCAGGTAAATGCTGGAAATTACTCTTCCTATATCAACCTCTTTATGTGTACTAGCGTGCGGGGACAGCATTTGTCTTTCTTGCTTTAACTGCATTTGTGGCGTTTCTATCTTTTTGTCTATCTCAATTTAGTGTCAGTGATGTTGAGCAACTACAGATTGCCTCTATATCTCACATCTATGTTATTTAAATTATGGTGATATTTCTGCTGTTCTGTTTGATTTTCTTTTGAAAACATTTTGCTGATTGATATAGGAACCCGTAGCATATCGTGGTATTTTACTATGTTGTACCTATTTCTTGTCACAATTTTTCTTTTTTCTTGTTTCTGGTTTCACAGGTACTTGAAACTCTGGTACAATAATCATTGACTATTGAATGAGTGCACAAATGTCACCATGCTGAACAACCAAGTTGACATAATTATGAAACAGAAGGAAATTTAATGCATTTCCTCTTTATATGGTAGTGATCTTGGAATGTTTTCTTTGGGTGATTCAAGATTTAGACTAATATGAGTAGACTTAGTATTCTGGCATAAAACAGGATCTTCTTCTATCACTAATGGATAAACTGGGATACACCAGTCACTTGGACAAGACTAAATAAGATTAAGTAAATGCATCTCTTCGATCTGGACAAGTGTCTGAAACTGTGAAGTAGTGTATATGCCAAGTTGGCTTAGCATTGCCAACGGAACTTGTAAGGTCATTCTTTTAAATTGTTTGCTAATTCTTTTTAGGTAAAAGGTCCAAATTTGTCTTTGTACTATCCGAAATTGAGCAACTTTGCCGTCCTTTGAAACTTTTGTTCAATTCATAGTCCTTCGGTTAGGAAAAAGTCTCCTTATATTCCCTTGCCATTAATGGAGCTCCAGCGTGAAATAATATGTGGTTCCAAGTGTTCAATTTCTTTCAGTACAAAGGTTTAGATTTAACCCCCAATGCTTGACTATGGATTAAAATTACCTTCACTTTGAAGCTCTATTAGGGGTCAAGGGCAAAAAACGTGAAGTCTAGAGGAGGGCAAGCTTTAACAAAAAAATAAAAACTAAATAAAAAAAAGTCTATAGGAGGGCAAATATGATTAGTTTCAGATAGAACAGGGGCAAATGTAACCCTTTTCCCTCTTTACATTATTGGACTTTCTTAACATAAACTCCTAAAATTAATCTTTACAAGCTCATTGCTTTACCAGAAAGGACAGTATTCCATTGGGCTTGAGGTTTTCCCATCTTGAATTTATCTATCGTAACTGGCAAAGAGTTCTAAATGTATAAGTAATTTGGGATTTAGTTGAGTGTTTCTGCTGTGATTTTCTATGCAGGTCAGGGAAAAGCTTACTGATACAGAATACCATGAATTCGTTGGGTATATGAAGTCACTCAAGTCTAAAGCAATGAAGATAGGCCAAGTTCTTCAATCTATCACAAGATTATTTTCTCTTCCTGATAGACTACCTCTCCTTCACAGGTATCATCTCTGCAGTTAGCTATTTTCTCCACTGCAAGCATCTGAATTGCAATCTAATTGTTGGTTATGTTGCAGATTTAAGGATTATGTTCCCGCGAAGTACCATTCCTTGTATGATCAGTATTTAAAAAGAAATCAGGAAGTAGCTCACTTGTGATGTGCAAAATCATCTTTATAAAGTTAATGAGTTTTCCGATCTAATGAGGAAAACTCTCATACTCCCCACTCCTAGGCAGGCACACAGCATAAAGTTAGCCAGTGAGTAGTGCGTCCTTGTGATGGATAAGGCAAGGAACAAGAGTAGAAGAGGACAGAAGCAGAGTATACATATCTTACTAAATTCGATATTCTTGTAATATCGCACTTAAAGGGAAAACGCCAAGTGATTTTTCTCATACATTTAACCATTGGTGGTGTGCTGGTGAAGGTGGTAAGTGCCCAATGAAATAGTCAGGATGCATGGAAGTTCGACTGAGCACCATTGTTGTAAAAAGAGGTGTATAGAAGTTCAATGTTGAATGCTCTGTAGTTGGGAATTCCAATCACAAACTGGAATACCCTCTACAGGCACTTGATTTTTGAACTATTTAATCCTTAAGAGTGGATCAAACTGTGCATAGCGTGACTGTTACTCCAGTTGTTTGGGTGGATACCTTTCTTATGCATCCATTTGAAATACCATTGGAACAACATAATATTTTATGTTCTTTACCATTTGAGGTTTATAAAGAGATTTCGAAAATATAAAGAACTGTTGTACTTTTCCTGTTAATTTTTATTTTCTGTATAATATTAGTGTGAGAGGTAAATGGAGTAACACAGCTGCTGAGTATTCATATAGTTGATCTCAACTAGTTGGAGATTTAAAATGAGGTGTTGTAGTTGTTATTTTGTGTTAACAATTTGTGGTTTGTTGCTGTTCAAGCCAAAGAAATTTCGTTTCAATGCTTATTTGTATAATAATACTACCTGTTAAAGGAGCTGGGGCGGAATTAAGTAGGGTTCAAAGTGGATTTAAATAATTGCACTATTGATTAAAATTAATTCTTCTGTATATATATAGTAGATGTTGAACTCTTTTAGCTTTCATTTTTACTTATTTACATTTTGAATCTTCTTAGTGAAAGTCTTGAATTCGCCATTAAAAAAAGCATAACCCTTATCTCTTCACAGCCGTTAGTTTACTAATATGAGCGGCGGTGACATTCAGTTCTTCATTAAGGGTGAAAATATGAAAAATGTTTAATTATGTTGAGTTCGTTAAACAGAAAATAATATTCAATAACTTTTGCTGTGACAAACTAATAGCGGAATCATTTCAGAGTTTTGAAAAATGATTTTTCTCCGTGGAGTCCAAAACTTTAATGAAAATGTCCACTGTGTTTCCTGAGGAAAAGAAGTAAACTTAAATTATAAATAAAGTGACGTGACGAAAATGCTAAAAACTAGTGATATTTGCATGTGAAGCAACAAAAAATAACAATTCATTGTTCTTTCCCCCACTAAATTATAAATTAAACCCGTGACTAATTTCTTACGTTACGTATCCCTTTGGTTTAATTCCCCATCCAATGGTCGAACATTCCGTGATATCGCCGGTACTCTGCCGGAGTTTTCACGCAAAATGACGATCTGATCCACAAACGCACTAAGTATGTACTTGTACGATTTCTTATCGTTCAAATCTAGATAACAAAACAATAGCTCTTCCATAAATTCCCAATTGATTTTGCCTTGATCCTTCAACCTCGCCTCCATCATCTCCTGCATCGATTGCCTGAAATCGTCGTACGGACTCGGAGAATACGTTACTAGTGTAATAAAATCATTCGCATTCAGTGTTTCCTTCGAGTATTCAGTGCTGATTGCCGATAATTCATTTGAATTGGTGTTGGTCACGGTGGTGATGGTGATGGCTGAGGTGGATCCAGTGTCGTCAGAAACTGTCATGCTCGTCCGTGCTTCTTCAATTAGGGAGCTTGACGAACCAGGTGCAATGAAAAAACGACGAGATCCGGTGTGATTTAATGGCGGAATGATGTGCCTATTGAAGATATAATTAAGTGAGATAGTACACAATAATCTTCGAATTTCACTGTTATTCGTTATCAAAAAGTATTTTCATGCGCTTTTTAGTCAAATAAAAGAGTTAAAAAAAAACTCAAAATGTGTTATTACCTTGGAGACTCAGACAATGAATTTGGATTTTCTACAATTTCCGCTTCATTATCATCATCTTTGTAATAAAAGGATTTAAAGTTCTCAAAGACGAAACGATCAACATCTGCAAGTGTTGCAGCTTCGTTTTCGCCTTGTACATTCTTCTCTTTGCGATCAACGGCTGAGAATGAAGGTGTTTTGGGGTGCCTACACCCCCGGAGCAACCAGCTAGTGGACGATGAGAGAGTCTTATTGGCGGAATTAGTAGTTTGTTGTGCTGTGGCTTTCTTTTTTTTCTTTGTCAGGTAATCTGAAAGAGATTTCTGGAGTTGCTTAGGCATTATGCTTTGATTTCTTTGTTTTTGGCACTTTTTTGTGCCTGTGTTGTGATAAGTAAATATGAGAATTGGGGATAAAGAGTACAAATAAATGCAAAATATGAAACGGTTTAGACATAATTAATTAGTCTAATTAATGAAGTGTTTAATGGATGGTTATTGATTATGAAGAAACGTACTAAGATTTTGTTTTTTTTTGTTTATGTTCTTTTGGGAATGGTGGGGAAGACTGCATTAATTCTCAATTTTCTATTTTGTAAATCCTATATTTTTAAGTGTGAGGTTAATTGTGACTATGAGTTAATACACACAAAAAGAAAACTCGTGGACTATGAAAAAAAAGGACTTGTATTTATGATAATGCGATTAAATTGATATTTTTACTATGCTGATTTATTTCATGTAATAGGCTCTCGTGTGTGCCATTTCCGTCTGCATAATATCTTTTTAGACCATATCTAATCTATCTCTAATTTTATTTTCTATTTTACTTTTTAAATATATATTTTTTTATTTTTTCAGACATAAATCAAATAAATATTATATAATATACAAATTAATGGACATTGATTGCAAACAAAATAATTGTGATAAAATTATTATGATATTATTATTGTATTTTTATCTTGTGATAAAATTATTATGTTATATATTGTATTGTTATCTTGTGCTCCATTCGTTCATTTTATGTGTCACACTTTAACTTGACACACCCATTAACAAAATAAATATAGATATAGGTATTTTTACAAAGCTATCTCATATTAAAAGATGTCATGAAAAATCATTTGAAAAATAAGTATTTTATGCTGAGGGTAAAATACGATTTTTTTTTTATATGTCAAAAGTGACAAGTAAAAATGAAAATCAATTTTAGATATAAGTGACAAGTAAAAGTGAATGGAAGGAGTATTTGAATCATTATTTTATGTATTGTAGTTTCAAAATTAAAATTTTGATCTTATCATTTTAATTTTGTACATTTTTCATAGTGAAAATTAATACTAATATCAAATTATATTAAAGTGACGAAAATAATAGAAATTGAAACATCATTAATTCAAGATGAAAATAGTATATATTAAATTAATGGCCTTATATGAAAAATAGTATGTTAATTATAAAATAACAAAATAACAATAAAATAATCAAAAAGTAAAATAAAGAGGGTGAATAATATTTGTTCAAATTTGGAGAACTACTGTTCACACTCTACCAGGAGAATAAAGAGTGAATTAAAGTGTGTGTGGAAACTCATTCTCTATTTTACTCTTCAAATATAGAGAATGAAAAGTAAAATAGAGGTAGGTTGAAAATGGTCTTACTTCATTCTTTATATTTGGAGATTAACATAGAAAATGAGTTAAAAAATTTCTTCAATTTTATGAGTTATTTTATTAAAAATTTCAAACTCAAGCAATTAAATTATCAAATAATTATATTTTAAAAAATATTGTATTGACTTTAAATGCAAGGTAACAATGAAAAGTACTACGGAATATTGTATAAGTAAAAAAGATAGATTCTCTAATTGATACATCCAATGAAGTGATGTCCATAGTTTATGTAAGAATTGATTCCATTGAAAACTATTGCAAAACTTTTTTAAAACTATAATCAATAAGGGAGATTTAAATATTTGTATTGTTATTTAACGTATAATAATTTATATATGTCTATTTATGTTTTACAAATTATACTGATAATTAATAAAAAACTATTAAATTATAATCAATTACATTATTTTTTTAAAGGTATAAGAGTAATATATATATATATATATATATATATATATATATATATATATATATATAATTAAATAAACATGATTTTCTTTTCTAAATTTTGGCTTTAGATCACCCAGCCGATTATTGGCTATAACACGTATAATGACATCATCAAAAATTCAATAAGCATTGAATGAGATATTAACAACTATATACATATTTCACTGTGTAAGTTGTTTCATTATATATGTCCAAAAAGCATTGTAATTGTTTTACATTTATCTTATCTATAATCAAATCTCATTAAATTAATACTCTCTCGAAGATAATATTTCTCCAATTTCGATTTTTGTCAATGGAAAAAATCACATATTTCAATAAAATAATATTTTGTATATATTTAATTTTTTAAAAATACAAATATTTTATAACACAATTGATCGTACGTATAAGACGTTAAACGACATAAAAAACAAAGAGTTCAAAACAATAAGAAAAAATAGTTTTATATGAATGCTGACTAAAGAAAATGCGGCATAACCTTTTTCATTGGATCAACTTTAGAATATCAAATACTTTAATTAACTAATATGTCAGATCAGTTTTCAAAGTAAACTACAGAGGTTAAAATGTTCTCAACAAATGCTAACTTAATTTACAAAACACGTTTCTCCCTTACGAAGACATAGACCGCAATTTGCCAAATCAGCAAGTGCCTATGAATTAGTTTAGAGAAAGAAATCAAAATTAAAGTTAGTTATCAAGTAAGCACATTGTTCATACAAAGAAAAATGTAATCCTTATTAGGTTTGATAGATAAACATGAATATATATGTTTTGAAAAGTGACAAAAATTGTATCATGTTTTAAATAATGACAAAAATTGTATTATGGAAGAAGCAAGACAAGCAAGGTTACTGATGATAAATGAAAGCTAGAATATTGCTGATTATGTTGAAGAATGCCAAAGTTGCAGACATGTTCCAATAAAACTAAGTTCAAAAGAGGAGTCTGCTTTTGCTAATAAATCACCTAAGGAAAATTACATGAAAAGCTTTATTTCAAAGCAAAGCACAAAAAGAAGTCCTAACGCAAGAAGAAATCCCAGTCGTAGAAGGATTCTTTAATTGACAAAGTTTTCTTAATTAAATTTAAGGCAATCTATTGTGGTAATTAAGGACAAACCTTATGGAAAGGTTGTTTATCAAGTTCAAGCAGGAGAAGAAATACTACAGAGAAGAGGATTTCTTTCCAGCAACAATGTTGTTGTGGCAAAGACAAGAATGTTCGAGTTGAAAATGCGGCAAAGTTATGTTGAAGATGTGGCAAAGACAAGTTCGAGTTGAATTAAGAGTTCCACACAAAGTAGGAATCCTACGCGTGAGCTTCTAAGTTTCAAGAGAAAAAGGAAGCAGAGCACAAGTAGAATTTCTAGTTGAAATAGCTTTTGGATTGAAGTTTAAATCGATAGTTTCGCTTGACAAAAATTGCGCACTTGCTTGACAAAAATTGCGCACTTACATAGAGAGAAGATCAAAACATGATCAACAGGTTTGAGAGAGTTTTGAGATTTATTGGGAGTGTTGCAATTTGTGAGGAAAAACTGTAAGATTGTAATTAAGAGTTTTGATTACAATCTTGTGAGTAGGAGTTGTTTGACAAGTTGTAGAACTTGAAGAACGTTAAAAGATATAAAACCGGGTTTTTTTTTTGTCTTTGGGTAGCTAGAACTTAGAGTTTATAATTCCTCTAGTAATTAGAGTTTATAATTTCTTAGGTTACATAGCTTTGTAATCGTGGTATTGTTTAAAGTTTATAAATAAGTATACAAAGTGTTGTTCGAATTCTTTGTTGTTAAATTTCAAATAAATAGAAACACGTTATCTGTACGTGTTCATTTGAAGAATTCAAGAGGGTAGAATTCCAACAGGTATTCACCTCTCTTAGGCTGACAACAATAGATTGTTTTTCCACCACCATTGCGACACCTTTTATCGACATGAATTTGGAAAGTCTCGATAAGAGTAACAAGAGTGAGATTTTACTTTTTCAATCTTCAAAATCTTTGTACTTGAAAAGCTGCAATGAGTTACTAATTAATGTCAAAACACTGTAAAACAAGTCAACATGGATGAAACTATACAAACTGAAAGAACAAACCAACGGGATGAAACTATACAAATTGAACCGAACAAGTCAACAGGGACAAAACGGGAATCAAAGGTTTAATGGCAAAGGTATTCAAAACAATTCATAGGTAGTAGTGTCGTTACGTTATACGTATATGAACATAATTAGTGAAATAAATTGGTTCAACTTTGATAAAATTGACATGCCAACATGAAATTATTATTACACATTGATTAGCAAGAAATTGATACGTACAAAACTAAATTATTATTGCACCTATAAGATTGATTAGAAAAAAAAACTGATACGTACAAAATTAATTAGCAACTACTAAAAGATATATGAAACTACACAAGAAACAAAAATAAAATAAATAATACATAAATAGGGAATAGAAAGGAAGCAAATATGGATTTGATGAAGTTGGCTGATGTAATGAAGCCAAATAGGACAACTACTGATGAACTAAACTATCTGAACTAAGCAATACCCCATAAACGACAACTAAATCAAAATTTTGAAATAAGGAAGAAGAGAGAGTGAGGAAGAAATGATACCAGAAATTTTCCATGCTTTTCTCTCAGTTGAGTTTATATAACCACCTATTAACGTGCCCTCATCTCAACCCCAGTGGCGGAGCCAGGTATTTAACAATGGGTGTCCAAAAATAACAACTTGTTATGTTAAGGGTGTGCAAAATATGTTATTTAATCATTTCATACATCATTTTACTTATATATATATATGATATTTTTTTTGACTAAGGGTGTCCAAAATATGTTACCACTGTGTGGCTACGCCACTGCTCAACCCTCGCCCTTCACTAACCAGCTTCTAATCTTGACCCTTCATTTCGTAGTTTTGTTATTCTTACGTCTTTCATTTTGAACCTAACCTTCAACATTTCTAGCAATTGAGGATCATTCCCACTTGTCTTGTTGCACATCCTTGTTCACTTCTTTCTTGCTTAGCCTTGTCGAAGGCGTGAATGCTTCTTCTCCTCCACCAAGGTGAAGGTTTTGCCTCTTCGATTCCGCCATTTTTCCAATTAGGATGCCAAGTTAAATTAGGAACAAAATTGTACTTTGTTCAATGACTATTTACGGAAATTATTATGTTTCTCTTATAATTTATACCAAGATTAAACTAGCAAAAAAAAAAGGGGGGGCGTTGAGATTGTCTATCTGTGCACGTAATTTGAAAAGGCCGATCACATTTTTATTGGGCCTCCACCTAAGAGAGAAATGGGCCCATTATGAAACAAGCCTCCAACTAGTTTGTAGAGGAGGCATACCCGGAGAATATGACACGCAGCACAGAGAAACAAGGGTCTAATTTTTATGTTTCTAAATTTTCTAGATTGGAAGTCTTTCGAGATAAAGAGAAATAAGTTTGATGTAATGGAGATTCATCATTCACATTTATCATCAGGTACTGTAATAATCTCTCTTTTCATTTGTTATGGGAATTTAATTTGCTGAAATATGTATATACATATATTTAATATGGGATCATTTGTTTAGCTAATGAAGAAACTAAAATCATGGATTTTTGTTGATCTTGCAGCTAGTTTGGAAGATGCACAGGATTATGATATTTCTGGTTTACAAAGTGAAGAAATATCTGCAAAACAGGACGATCAAGTAAAATCGTCAGCCAATGTGGCTTCAAGAAAACACGACAATTTCCTTAGTTTATTTTCTCTTAGAGATATCAATTCTTGCATTCTAATTTCGGAGAACAAAAGAGTAATTTGTTCTGTCATGATTTCGTTATTAGTTGTCCTGTCTTATGCCCATATCCCACTTAGTATAGCAAGATCAAATAGCTTTGTTGCCTCAAGGCCACTTTACATATTGTTGCTAACGGATTTTACAATAGTGATTGCACGAATAGTTCGCAAGGAAGTAATTCCTGATGAAGAAAGAGCCAAAGACACAGAACGAGTGAAGGATTTTGGACAAAATTTGGATGGAGCTCTATCCATATTGGAGTATGGTTTGGTTCTGTATCAGACAATTCGTGCAATCTTCATTGACTGCAGTTTCTATTTGGTCATTGTAATATGTGGTCTGTCTCTAGTATAGTAAACATACAAAGAAGTCAATTCATATCATATATAAACAATGTAATTTTTCTCTAACGGAGATTCAGATGAACCCTTGGCTCTATACCTAGCTCCCTCACTGGCTCGCATCTTGCCTTGTGAGTATATGACATTTCTGAGGTAGTGTTCAGAGGCGGTTTATAAATTCAGTTGAATTCAATAGTTTTGGATAGTATCTTATATAGTATGTGCAAAAAAGACAAGTATATACATTTTCTTAATTCAAAACTCTTTAAAATTTTTGAATATTATCTTAGATAGTATGTACAAAAAAAAAGACTATTATATACCTGGATATACATTTTCTCAAATTCAAAACTCACGACGTCTAAATTCTGCGTCTAACGCCACCAGGCACGGTTTGTGACTCAACCTTCATAACTTGAGCTTGAAGAGTTGTTGCTATTTAGTGTACCACTACTATATGATGAATTGATAGATGAGATTGGTGAGTGTCAGGGTTAGTTGCAAGTGGCAGAATTGTATAAGAGGACAATGTTGTTGGTATTATTTCCAGGTTTCATTAAATGAATAGGGGCCATTAGAAATTAAATCTGTAGGATGATTCAAGTTGAAGAATGTGTACGTATATAATATATAACTTTTATTTTTATACATATTGTATTAAATTTTTATTACTTTATTGAAATAGTTATTCTAGGTGGAAATCTATGTAGATGACTGATGATATTGATAAAAGATGGGGAAATAGTGACATTAATGCGTGTAAAGTAAGTAGAATAAGAAGTTCACACATATAAATGCCTAGACAAACAAAATATAATAAGATCACATAGTTATTCTTGGTCAAGCAAAGTGCAAAAATATTTTCCTAGTGACATGTGATGTTTTATTATCTTAGGACATGAATGTGAAAAAACACATTTCAAGGGGGAAAAGGGGCCAATCAAAGCCTTATCTCTAGCCACATCATATATATATATATATATATATATATATATATATATATATATATCTTTTCATTAATTGAGTGTTCATCATAAACTATATATGTTAGGTTATTAGCATTTTAATATTAATATTTAACATAAAATTACTTTATTTTGGAGTTATAAGAATGGATAACTTCTACATCATCCATTAGCATTGGTTATCCATCAATGTATTTCATTCTTAATTCCTCCATTACTCCCTTTGTAACCTATGTAACATATGTAACTCCCTTTGTAACATATGTAACTTCCATTGTAACTTATGTAACCTATGTAACTCCTAAAGAGAGTTCTTATTAGTTGAAGGGAGGTGTTCTTTTTTTGTGGAGCTTTGGACTCAACTCTTGTCCAGAGTTGTTGAGTTATACTTTAAAAAAGGCTGTTGTATCCTGGAGGGGACAAGTCAAAGAGGACTACTGCTAGACCGGTGAAAACATTTGCTGCAGTGGGCTTGAATCTCCTTAAAGAGAGTGAGATATCCGCGCTTCAGCCTGAAGAAATTACTTTCTTCATTTTATTTTCAATTGTAATCTTGCAATTTTATTATCTTGTAAGTTTTTTTTTCACTAACAATATATTTAAACGTTTATGAGATGGAGATTAGTAAGGTTGTGGGCCACAACTTGTGGCACATCATACATTCTTTTTCGTAGACTTCACTTACGAGACTATACTTGTATATCTTTTACTATCACTTATCATAACAGATTAGCGATGTTGTGTATTCACTTATTACTTAATTATGGTCAATTCATATGATTTAGTGTAAATCACATGAAGTACCAACTCAACATATACATAATATATGTATTTGCAAACATGATTATCGCAAAGTTTTAACTGATCAATACATATTCTTACCTTGATTTTTTAAGTTCAAATTAATTTTAAGATGCATGAATAAAGAGATTTGAGTATGTCACATCTTATCAAGATTGTTACCTAGTAGGTTGACAAATGATTAAATATAAGAATTTTCTTAACATGAAGCAACACTGGGGTCATGTCTAAATAGTTGAATAATCCATTCTCCAAAATGTCAAGTTAAACTGAACTTTTGTTTGTTACCTGTTGGTCCCATAGTGAAACTGGATAACCCTTGTCATACACTAGTGTTTTTTGTCCCTTCAATATATACCAATTTCCTCAATTTTGAACCATCTTTGTGATTTGTCATCTCAACATCAGCTACCTGTATTGTCACTGCCCCCCTCCCCCTCCCAAAAAGAATATTGGTGTCCGATACTCGTACTAAAGCTGAAATTTCTAATTTGTGCAGAATAGGAACTTGTTCAGGTAGAAGCGTTCTCTATAAAAATATTTTTATACTTAGGATCCACACCGAAATTTATAATTAAGGAAAGACCAATCCCATTCACTGCCCTACATCTTTTAATCGATAGTATTCAATTAGTCAATTAAGTGACAATTCCAAAATATTTTCTAACCTTTTTACTTTATTAGATGTTTAATCTTTTAAAGCAGACTAGTAGGAATTAATAAAAACTAAATAATATTCTCTAAATTTCATTGTTATCTTTATACTAACAAGTAACAATCAATTTTTCTGACTCTTGTTAGATACTCGAAGCTAATGCCAGCGTAACAAGAACACAATAACTAAGTTTCAATCTCAAATAGCTAGTTAATCTCATTTTTTCCTATTATGTATTAACTAATCTATGATTTTGACTTCTGAAATTAAAATGATCGAAACGTCATACTATTAATACTTCCATTTTCAAACTCTTAAATAAAGTTAGTTAACTATATGCTATAGTTACTATAATAAAAATAATTTTTAGCAACATTAAATATTGACACTAATAAAGAGTGCTAACGTCTTTACTGACATTAGTTAAGTGTTGTTAGAACCAATGTCGCTAAAGGCTTTAGGAACATATACAAAAATTGACAATTATCACTAAAAATACATATTTAATGACAATTAAAAATTAAATATCGCTAATAATCATTTTTAATATAGTGAATGTCACTATTAGATTAAAGGGGAACATATATACAATTTAGTTAAAGTTCCTCACATAGTTAGTTGTATATCCTCTTTGTTTAGTTATAGTTAGTTAACTATATGCTATAATGCCACTATTAGATTAAAGGGGATATATAATTTAGTTAAAGTTCCTCACATAGCTTGCTCTATATCCTCATTTGTTTTAATTTGTTTGGCTCACGTTACGAACTCATATTAAAAATATATCAAATTTTATGATTGCAAACCTGTTTTTGTAACAATATATTATATAATATAATACATACCAATTTGTTGATTTTTTTTTTGGGTCCTTTAATATGGCCTTCACATGCATACAAGCACTAGTTTAGGATGAATTTGGGGCTTGGCGGACCCACCTTGTCCCTTCTCCATTAACTTTCTATGGGCTACTATTAATGCCTATAATCAACACCAACTATAATTGAATTCTAAATTAATCATTTTTTCAGAAGAATTTATTCTCCTCTTAATTTTGTCGATTAATTAAATTAGGCTCTATCCTATATGACTATGAGATAATACTAAACAAATAGCTTAGATTAACACAAAATTAATCGCCACAACTCGTGAACCAAAGATTCCATCATCACCTAATCTTGTTGAATACTTTAAACAATAGGCAACAATTCTTCTTTCCGCCGGATTAGTATTCCCTGTGTTTAGACTTCAAAATAAGAAAATGAAAGTGAAAAACCGGGGCCCATATCTTAAGTATTGATTTTCGTGAATTCAATATTTTCTTAATGACATCGTAATTTTTTAGAAATATTATTTACGAAATTCTTATATATAAATCTTATATTTGAATATTTTTATCAAACTCTCGAAATTTAAACAAAAGGAATAGTTTTAAAAATATATTATTATGAATAATTTAATAAAAATATTATATTGTTATATATTAACTTAATAAGTTCGTATTGAGATTATAAACTTTGAAAATATCTCATTGACGTTATGAGTTGGTATTTTTACATAAATTCATATAAAGAAATGTAACCAACCAGAAATACGATGAAACCTATACCTGATCACTTTACCGAATGAAAAAATTAATGAGTTCTTTTTGTTGGAAAACTATATGTTAAATAGAAGCATATTAGGATTTTTATGGTTTATATGAATAATAGATAATTAAATTATTTATATTAGAATACATAAATATAATTTAATTTAATTTGATAAATATTTCTTAAATTGTGAACAGAAATCTTCAAGCGAATCTTCAAGATATATAGATAGACTTTTTAAGCGAATTTATAAGATAGACAATGGTTATAGTCTTCTACAGTGATCTCAAGTTCACACTCAAACTCTCTCAATACTTGAGTTATTTGGGTGGACAAGCATGAAGAAACCTTCTATCGTCTAGGATTAGAAAAATCCCTAATTATAGAAATTTCTTTCCGATCCAAAGAGGAGAACTAAAATACAAGTTATTTTTCTTTCACCGACAAATACAATCAGTTTAACCCTTCCCCTTTTCCCTTTAGAATTAGGATTTCAAGTTCTATTTTAATATAGACATGATCACAATATTAATTATTGAGGCTTCCTATTATGGAAATAATTTCAAATAAGCATTCCTCTATTTATATTTCGTAATTCTCATCCACCACTTATGTAATTTCTCATGTTAAGATTTAGATACTAATCATTAAATTAAAAAACTGATAAATTTAATTCAATGATTAATTTTCTTTAGAGCTCTGCTTAACTTATTTCATGTGCGGATTCATAAATCCACTTGCAAGGTTTGACACGATAAAAATTTACAAGTTTCTCAAAAAGGCATATCAATAATCAATCTACATAAAGAGACATGAATTTCATCAATTAACTAATTATTTCACCAATATATGTTATTATCATCCAACTTACTGGGCATATTGATCCATTTAATAAAGCAAAACAATAATCAATATATATATATATATATATATACATATATATATATATATATATATATATATATATATATATATATCATAATAGTTATATCAGAATTAAAAACATAACTACATTTAATAGTTTAGAGAATATGTTTTTGTCGGTAACTATCTCTACTTAATCCCGTTCAATACATATAAAATGCACCAGTACAAGAAGTTGGAACTATACCGTTCGCATAATCAAGATAAATTACATATAATCTTGTGCTACAATCGTAATCTACACACTAAATCATCTACTATATAAGTAAACATAAATCTATTAAAACTGAGCAAATATCTATTCTATAATAACTATTATATCTTAACATATGTTACTTGTATATATTCCAACTATCTTCCATTAAACTTTCAACCACCACGATTGTTATAATGTTGTATATCTAAATGAAGGGGTGGCTCGACAGTGTTAGAAAAAGACATGTGTTTTAGGCTCCAAAATTTAAGGGGCCTTATTTTTTTAAAAAATAGGTTTAAAATTATTATTTTTATATTTGTAGAAAAAGTAAATTTTCATGAAATATGAATGAATTATTAGAAGAAATTTGACATATTTGAGTACTATATCTCATCAAAAATAATTTAAAATAAGAAATGTTATATTATCAATTGAAAAATAGAAGATTTCAATTATATATAAGTTATTAACAATTCAAGTTTAAGGTCTTATTTGATTTTTGTTTTAGATCACTAATATGCTTGAACCACTCCTGTCCAAATGCATGGTTAATAATATATATCCTAACAATCTTTCACTTAAATGTTTAATCTTGAAAATTATTAGAATACTATGCCTAAGCACATGATTAATAATAGATATCCTAACACTTTTCATCCTTTAACCATTCTACGCTATACGAATTTGGATTACTTCATATAAATTTGAATTAATTGAATTTAAATTAAACTATATAAATTTAAATTAATGGAACTAATAAAAAAACAATTTGTAAGAAGAATTAAAGATAAGAGGGCCAAGTCAAATGTCTGTGTAAAAGCATCGGGTGGTAGTGCATGAAGACAAAAAAAAAAGGGGAAATCAAAAGAAAGATTTTATCTGCAAAGCATCTTTCTTTGCTTGTGTGAAATAAGTTCCTCCACTAAAACATAACCAAGTAAAACAGAGTCAAAACACATTTTCTAAAATATTCTCATTTAATACTGAAATTAAGGAAGAATTACATTTACGGTGAGTCTGTAACCACAGGCAAAATAAAACCTCTAATAACTAGATTCATTTTTTCCTCCATCAAGCAACTAAGTCATTTTTGGGGAAGATTCTAGAAGGAACGGCAAACCTAGCAGAGAATGATCTAGAAAGTTCATCTTCATCAGCAAAAATAGAACTCCGATCATCAAAATTCTGGGAATAAGAATGAGGATCATAAGTAAACCGCATTGAATTTGAACAATCGAAAACTCGCCTTTTCTCTTTTCTGATCTTCCTCCATATTAATCTCCAGATCGGTCCTTTGCTCGATCTGTTCACCGGCAACTTATAGGAGACGAATGGATCGCAGTCTCTGCGGGAGTAGCTCCGCCGCCAGCTGATGTTTCCGGCGTCAGAATCGCACCATGAGCCAATCTCCATGAGAGTAGACAAAACAGAGTGAGATTTTGGGGATTTATGAGTTGTGAGTGAGTAAGCGTTTCTTTTGGCTTATAAAAGAAGGTAAATACAAGGTGGGGATGCAAAGTGGACTATTTATAAAGAGGAAAACGATGTATCTCTACGGTCCAACTGTGTAGCTGTATAAAATGGTCCAACTCAAAAAAAGGGCACGTGACATGTTCAAGGGTAATATAGTCATTTCAGTAGGTTCGTTTGGTTCAAAATAAGATTACCTTCAAAAATATAATCAAACTTACCAATCTTCTGTGATAAAATAAATAATCTCGTAATTGCATCCGTAAATTTTATGATATTCTCAGCCAAATACAAAATTAAAATGTTGACATGAGTAGAGAATCAATCCACTTAGTCCTTATGATATCCTCAGCCAAATACAAAATTAAAATATTGACATGAGTAGAGAATCAATACACTTAGTTCTGCCTATCAAACGAAGTATTATTTTTTAATTAAATCAGCTGTAATAAACTGATGATTAGTTTGCTGATTATTTTAAAGTAATTGAGTTTTAATAGATCTATTATGGCTAATCATGTAGATATCATGCAATTAATTGGGATGTTTGACTTGATCATTTGATGAGATAACATGGTCTTTAGTTTAGACAACTCAAATTATGCACCTTAATCTTCACCTGAACGTGGGATATTATTCTAACTACTAATATTTATGCTCCTAACTATATCAATTACTATATCTCAGTTTAATTTTTTCTTTTATTTTTAATATAAAAAGTCAGCTTCCATAATTTTCCCATTTCACTTGAGCTCATAAATATATTAATCACTTCATTTAGCTCAAGCTGATTTTTATGCTTAATGAAGCTAAAATATTTGAGAGAAAGAGTATTTGTATATTGCTATTAGCTTCTAATTTAAGCTCTTGAAATTACTACTAATTGGTTTGAATTTGAAATGAATCTTCTAATTTGTTCAGATTTTAATACAAGTAATCGAATCGAATCAAATATATAAAAAATTCAAAAATAACACAATAATTGAAAATTGAATAGGCCAGCGGACGTGGTCCCTTGCAGAGAGCAGAATGCACCAAATCAAAGTAGGAATTTTATGTGGGGGCTGGTGAGAGGTGGGCCCAAATGAATTTAATAGGCTTTCTCCTACTTACCTGTATTTAGGCCCATTATCAGCATATGGGCCACGGTAAATTTTGCATATATAGCATCGGTGTTTTAAAAGATGAGGGCGTGAGATGAGACGTTTTATACAGTATATGGAGCGTGACGTAAGCTTTGAGATACGGAGCGTAAGTCTCATGGATCTATGGGGCGTAGTCGCATATATATTCAATTTTATAGTTTTTATTAATAATAAAATAAGTAAAAGTAAACTTTTCAATAAATTATGATTTTTACGTGAGATAAGTATTAATATTCAATAATGAAGAAAAAATGATTAAAATTATTATTTGGGAAATATCATTAACAAATAATAAAAATATGATTTAAAGTAAAAAAATAAATTAAAAATGCCTGGGTGTATGATTTACGCCTAGGACTTACGTTTTTATGTTCAGGGCTTACGCCTCAAATTTTAGGACTTATGTCTTATGGATCTACGTTTTTAGTTTACGCCCTCATAGCGTTTTGATATGCTCCGCCTCAAAACTCGCCCCAAAAACATTTTTGAAAACACTGTATAGCATCTTTCCGTAGTAATTACTAATTAGATTTTTAAATTGATGGACAAAACTTATCTTAACAAATCACTAAGTTTTATGGTCAAATTTTGATAGATCACCATAATTTTGACTATTACGTTAATGAATATCAGAATTAGTTTATAACAAAGTTTTAAGGATCATCAAACTTTTGCTGAATTTAAAGAATTAACAATATTAAGAAATCATTAAAATTTTGACCACTTTCTCGATAAATTATTAGAATTAATTGATTGCAAAATTTTAATGAATCACCAGGATTTTAGATCCCAACTTGGATGAACCATTAGAATTAATTGACTATAAAATTTTTAACGAATTACTAGAACTTTAACAACAACTTTAACGAATCATTAGAATTAATTGACTATGAAATTTTAACGAATTACCAGAATTTTGACTACGACTTTTGATGAATCATCAAAATTATTTGACTACTAGTTTTAAAGTGATCACCAAAATTCTGACCACAATTTTGACAAAACAACAAAATTAGCTGAATACAAATTCTTAATGAATCACCAATTTTTTGTTTACTCATGATTGACTAATTTATTTTTATCAACTATAAAAAATAAAATAAATTTATCATCCATTTAAACTGATTTTCAAATATGTCCTTTTCATTAAAATATATCCATCCAAATTTCAACAATCTACAAGTGAACAAACTTATTTCATTATTTTTTGATTCATGAAAAAAGACTAAAGAAAATACTTCAAATTTTTTCTGAGCAAATAATTACCCAACGCGAACGAGTATTAATTCTAAACTAATCATTTCTCCGTGAGAATCAATTTTGTTTCGTTTCAATCTATTTATTTCGATTATTAGCTATGTAATAAAGGATATATTTTTAATTATTATTTTAATAAAATAAAATTATTAATATCATATAAAGTACTCCCTTTTGTCTCATTTTATGTGGCGTTTTTTATTTTTCGAGAGTTAAATAGTTTAATTTTGACCGAACACTTGCGTATAAAATTTTCAAATTTTTTGAAATGAAATTTTATATATTTGTAAACTACGTAGAGAGTACTATAAATTAGAATAATTGATAATTTAAAAGGATCTATGAAAAAATTACGGTAAAAAATGACTTGTTTGAATCTCGAAATTCGAAAAGTGACACATAAAATGAAACAAAAAGAGAGTACATAATTTTAAATATAATTTAAAAATCTTAAAAAATTATACTCCAATTTACTCTAAATATTAGTAATTTATATAGATCGTTACGTTACTCTATTTGTTTGAATCAATTTGCTTGATTCAACTTATAGTCTTATATTTAGAATGTTTTAAATCTATATATTTTTTAAAAAAAGAGAACAAGTACCCATCAATCTATGCCCGAAATTCCAGAGACACACTTATATTATACTAAAGTTTCATTACCCCTGAACTTATTTTGTCAGAAATTTTCTACCCTTTTTGGATATACGTGACATTTATTTGAAAAAAATAGTTAACCAGCGTTGAGCCCCAAACATAAGACAAAAGGGGTAGAAAATTATTAATAAAATAAGTTCAGAGGTAATAGGACCTTAGCATAATATTAGTGCGTCTATGAAATTTCGAGCCTAGATTGAAGAAATACGTGTGCATTATCTCTTTTAAAAATTACATATATACCGCAATGTTTCGCCGAATGATCGAGTGAGCACCTGACTACCGCGCCTGAGTGCGCGAAGTTACTATTAACAGAGCACCAAACGAGTATAAAACAAGTGGTTGGAATCTTCGGCAGCCGCGTCACTAGAGATTTTCAGTGCCAAACAATGGAAACTAAGCCAAGTGTACTCCAAACAGATAAGTCTTGTTAACAGAAAAAAGGAACTTGATGATTCCATTTCCATGGAGCTAACAAAAAAACAAAACCATATTTCCCACTTGCAAAAGCTAAAGAGAAAAAAAAAGCAAACCGCCCAGTCCTTATCCGTGATAATAAATAGGAATCAATCTAAAGCTTCTTTTTTTTTTTCTACTTTTCTTCTCATCCTTCCTTTTCCTTTTCGATACTCTTTAGTTATATATTCGTTACATTATAGTTAAATGTCAGTCAGGAATTTCATCATCGAATAGAAGAGATGTGCTACTCAGGGATTCCTTACAAAAGAGAACGATATGTTCATATACAGGCAAATACTGCAGAATCAACTGGAAGCAGAGGAGTAGTTGCTGGTAGTGCTGTAATGGCGAAGCAGTGTATTTGTTCACCAACAATCCATCCAGGATCGTTTAGGTGCAGGCATCATCATGCTGATTATAAATGGGTTGTTCCACTAGGAAATAAGCAGAATCACTTTGGTGCGTCTGTCACCAAGGCTCTATGACAATTCTGCTGTACAAATTCGAATTGTCATTTGTAATTTTTAAGTTTTTGTGCTTTTACAATAAGATGTAGATGATCTTCTCAATTTATGTGAAAATGTTACACGAGTGTGTAGTTACAAAAAGAGATTTTGCAATTTAGTCTTCAGTGTAAGAGAGGGGCCTTGCAAAATTTTACAAAATTGTTGAGCAGCTGGAAGAAAACATTAAAATTATAGTAACATATTGAACATACAACAACAAGTAAACAAAAAGAGAAGGAAGAAGACAAGTCAAGATAGTTATTCTAAACCTCAATTATAATTTCTTCCAAATTTGGAGAGCTTCTAATCAAGCAAAGAATACATCAAGCTTCACGAAATAAATTTTCTCAATCTGTGAATACTATGAATCAATCTAAAGCTTCTTTTTTTAGTTATACGTTTCCACTTTTCTACTTTTCTTCACCTTCCTCGCAAATTACGATACTACTAACACGGTTATATATTGTTGATGCTGGTGAATCATTTCCCACTATTTAGTTATACAAGATGTGCTACTCAAAAGTTCGTTATTGGGATGGTAACCTTGACAAAAGAGAACATCGAGGACGATATCTTTCTCTGGTAAGAGAGACGGATTCAAGATTTAAATTTTTTGATTTCATATCTACTATTTATAGGATTTTTACAGATAATGTGTATTCGCTCCTGCAGGTAAGCATAAGAGGAGCTGATGGTGCTGGTGCTGGAACGAGGAAGTTTCAATGTGTTTGTTCCCCCACAATCCATCCAGGTTCATTTAGATGCAGACATCATCATGCTGATTATAAATGGGTTGCTCGACTCAGACACAAAGCCTAATTACTTAGGCTACTTCTGTCGCCAAGGTTCTATCACGATTTCGCTGTACAAATTCAAATTATCCTTGTAATTTTTTTCATTAAGATGTGGATTGAACTTTTTTAAAAATTAATCAGACACTCTCTTAACTTTTTGTAATTTATTTCTTGAATTGAAGATATCTAAAAATAAACTCTTTAAAGCCTGTCATAGATGTTGCAAGGTTTCATTTAAGACATGTGAGTTAATGTTTGTGTACCACTTGCCTAACATAGAATCATCTCAATAAGAGAGGGGCCTGATGGAATATTGTAAAGGGATTAAAGAAGGTAGGGACAGTGTCGTGCTCATCGTATTGCATTGGTGATGCACCCAAAGCCAGAGAGAGTGTCGAATCATTTATCGTGATTCTATTTTACACGTACCCTAAAATAATCATCACATCACTCTATTAATTGAGGTATTTATAGTTTTCAAGGATAATTACTACATGGGTGAAGGAAAAAAAGTACTAATAAATTGAAAGATTGTTGTTTCACTATTATTTTTTGAAAGCACGACAAATAATTTGACAGAGAGTATATTGGAATGGTTTTCCTAGAACAAATGGTACATGCTACTGTATTACAGACGTGTGAATGTTGTTCCCCACAAACACGAAAAGCCTTGATAATTACAATAATGGGGAGCCCAATATGCAGTTTACTAAAACTTGGGATAATCGAAACCCTCGAGACGTAATCAAATGCACACCAATTCCATAAAGACCATAGAGCATTTACAAGGCCTCGAGCAGAGTTTGGATACTTGCCCTCTTATGCATTTCCATTAGTTCACAATTCCATCACAAACCAAGTCACTGTTAGCAAAAGACAACAATGTTTATTTCCAGGCAATTACATCATAAATATGATGGTACATGAGCAATAGCTATTGTACATTTTGGCTTTCACATATCAATGTGGGGTTTTATAAGGTAGCAAGAGTACTTGAGCAGAAACTTCTGGGAAATAGCTAAAAGCTTAACAGTAATGCTCCTATTTTGATTGATCTATGACAAAACAAATACCAGCTATACATTAGGACACAGTATCATACCTCAGGGTAGCAGTTCTGATGAGAAATCGTTTCATTGCGTGTGTCCACAACAATTTCACACACCACTTTTCCCTGAAAGAACACAACGAAAATATATCAAAACTTATTCTGATTTACAGACCAGAATATCTCAACAAACAGTATCAACAGATGCACTTTCTGGCATGACCGTGCCTCACTTCCCAGCACATAAATATTGCTTTTAGGAGTAAGGGTGCTATGGAAACTTGAGTTCCAACAGAAAAGTGATTCCACTCGCCAGAAAAAGAGTTTTAAGAGCTCAGAAAAATGCAGTGTCAACAAGTTTAGGAGCTTCAGATTATCCAACATCTAGATAACCTTTTTTTTTACCCCTTTTCCTGATAACTTACACGACTTTAGCATTGAAAGAATATGGAGAAGCCCATTAATTCTTTAATTATATCAAGTACTTCTATGCTCGACTAGATCATTACTATTGAGAAATGAAATGAAGGAAATCCCCCCTTGCTCACACTAAAGAGCAGAAGGCCAGTCAGGGAGACGGAGTTTTCAAGATCATCAATTAACGGGTCATCTAGATAAAGTTCATCGTTAAAGATAAAAATACCCAAAGATAAAAATACCCCCTTACACGCCTTAGAAAGCCCGTTAAAAATATAGTTTTTCCAAGATCATCAATTAACTTGTGATCAAGATAGAGTTCATCATTCAAGATGATATATTTGAAAGAGAAATCAAGCCAACAACACCGAAGAACGATACAGAATAACAACATGAAACAACCATTAAGACTGTTAGAATCAGATCCATAGAAGATAGAAATTGTAAGACCATTCTCCTGTACCTAGTACTTACTGTCAACAGCATAGTTTATTATCCCGATAAAGCTATTTTCTTAGTCGACATCAAGTAGACAATAACACCATTAACCATGGGAAATGAAAGATCTTAAATCAATACGTCATACAAAGAAATTATCAACAGTGCTACCATGTAATGTCAATATCAAATCATTTCTTCCGGTGGAATAAGGTTGTTCAGTTGTATTATGCATGACTATTACGAGAAGGGTTAAAAATATAAGAATTTTGGTATAAGTTGAGAAACACATAAGGGAGAATCATGGTTTTTGTGGTAAAATTTCAGAAAAGATAAACTTGTACGAAGAAAAAGTTAAGTGAAGCTCTTGAAACTTTTTTTTTAATGGTACTTACATATGCAAAAACTTTTCATTTAACAAAATCAGACAACAGTATGGGATAAAGAACATTTTGGTACAAAGAGATATAGAAAACAAATAAGCGTTTATCAGACTGAAGAGTGCTATTCTCAAGAAATACCTCAGATATCCTAACACACAGAAACAAAATTATTTGTTGACATAGTTCCCAGATGTAAATACAGCTTATTCCCTATCTTTTTCTTTACCCATGTATATCTACACATAATGAACTTCCAATCCCGTTAACTCAAATGACATATTCTCCTCGCTAACACCATCTAATTTTTTCTTTTGATATATGTGGTATCCAGGCCGTTAGCATACACCCCGACTGATTCCAGGATAAATGCCACCTCCCACCACAAGGCTAGGACAAATGGAAAAAAAAAAATCATCTAGTGCTTTTATCTAGTTGGAATTTAAACTTGAGACCTCATGTGGGGTGCTTAAGGTATATCATTTATCAAGCAGGTTAACAGAGCAGCTAAACTAATATCGAACCCCAAAAAATGATATCAATTAAGTTATGCAATGACAATAGAAGAGTTGAAAGAGTATACCTTTATGGGAATATCAAAGAGGACCAAGCCAAGCTCACCACCAATTTGAGTAACAGTATCAAAAGTAATAGAGCCCCTAGCCAAATCCTCAATCAATGGAATTAAATCAGAGAAAATGCTAACATCGGTTAGCTCAAGCGTAGCGTTGACATAGGAAGAAGCCCTAGCCTTAATACGACCATAATCAGATATAACGTGCCCGAGCTGCTTACCCCTATACCCTATAGAAATCACTACATAACGGAAACCGACGGAATAAAAGTCCTTATTACGAATCTTAGCAGTGACATCCAGGGTAACGTCGATTGCAATTTTGGGAAATGAATGAACTTTAAGGTGCCGGAGCTTGAGCCGGGCAATGGAGAGTTCGGGATCAGAGGGCCATATCAAGAAAAGTGCGGCGGAGAGGAGGATGAACACGGCGGCGCAACAAACGTATCGACGGGTAGGTCGCCGAAGAAATTGTCGAGGGGTACGGTAGTATTGAGGTAGAACGATAATGTATTGGGGTTGTTGATGTGGTTGGGGTGGATAGGAAGGGAGGGGGTCGTAAGGTCTAGGGGGTGGATCGGAGAGTTTAGAGGAAGCCATTGATGAAGGGTTTTAGGAGTTGAAAGGAGAGAACTAGGACCGGAGATATAAGGTGGAGGAGGAGTCTCGTGTAATACAAATTGTATTTTTACTCAACTCATGTTGGCTGTTGCGTGGTGCTCAAATGATGTAATGTCAATTGACATTAAATCACGGAATTTAAGAAATATACGTTTGACAATTATCTTACAAACAAAACATACCCATCATGATTTTTTTTTTGTTAAATGTACAACTTAACATGAATAAGATAATGTTAGTATTGTTGAATATTTTGAATAAGAAAGGTAAATATGAGTTAAGTCAGGTAGTACTATCAGCTACTATTATAAAAGGGTTAGGAAAAATGATAAAATAAAATTATTAAACACAATAAGTGAAGTTAAGAAAATGAGAAATGAATTAAAACAAACTTTGCGCAATACAATCTGATGTCTAATGTTGCTTTCACATTTTGTTTTTTCCTTTTTGCAACTCAAACTCAACATCAAATCCATCCATCACTTGTGGCATAAATCCAGCCTTCAAAACCAATAAAACATGGTTAAATCAAAACAGCCTGCATTTATCTTAAGCGAGAGGCAAGAAGATAAAGTTTCCTTAATTTTCTATAACTTACATAAGCTAATAAAAATTCGCAAGCATTTATTTGGACCTCTAATTTCTATAACTTACACATACTTTGAGATGATCATCTATAACAAGAATATTTTAGGCCAAAGTCATTCATAAACGAGAACGGTGAAGTTCCTGTTGCTCTTGCAAGTTCTTGGTAGACTTGAATTGGCACAGCTGTGTCTACCGAGAGCACATAATTCTGAACTTGCTGGGTTCTTGACAAATTCTGTTGTAAACTCAAATCTTCTTTGATCCATATACGATAACAGTACAAACAATGAAATACACTATCAACCAAAGGGCAATGCAAACGAGTACACGGTTTATACTACAACTTGTATACAGTGACATCAAAATCATGTGTTGACACTTCTATTACGATGCTTTGCTATAGACCTCAAGTCTCTGTACATATCTGCACAGGCAAGAGAAAATTCTGACATTGCCCCGAAAAGCTCAGGTAAGCGGCTTCTCAGGCTTGTCAAAGACTTATCTCTCACCTGCAGACATTGCCTCTGGTATGAGTCCTCCTCGTCCTCCAGCCTCTTCCTCAGCGCCTCTAATTGTAGCTGCCGATCGACCACAAGAGTATCTTCCTGCGCCGATTCTGGATCCATTTCATCTGGGATTCTACGCTGCATATGCTTGTGATACCAATCCTCATATTGCCTAGTCTTCTTGTTAAGCTCTCTCCGAGTATCCTCACACCTGTCCCTCAGCTTCATCTCCTCCTTTTGGTATTCAAAGATAGTATTTATGACAGCTGAAAAGTTATAAATAGCAGTTCTAGCCAACTCATCAGGAAGCTTCTCAAGATCATCATGCCAGGCATGTATAAGTGCCAAAATTGGTGGATTTTGGGGTCTTTGTGGCGATGAAACCTTTTCTTTCAGATTTGTGTCTATAGGGATGAGATTTAGCTTTAACCAATTGTTAAGAGCTTTGATATACTGTTTTTGGTAGATAACCAGTTTGTCAAACTGTGAATGCCACTCTTGGACAACAACATACAACTGCAAAGTTCGTTCATGATGGTGCTCAGTTGTTTCTTTAGGGGATTGAGATATATCCAAAGACTTCAGCGCTTGTGCAATCTTAGACTGACTCACATGATATCCTTTCATGTTCTCCCACATTAT